GTAATGGCTGGAGTTTGACGCTGATTCAGGATCATAGTATCATGACATTTCATTCAGTCCCATATTTCTTAAGTTTGAAACTTTTGATTTGATGATTTCACTTCAGACATTTTCATTCCTCACTAAGATTGACTCATATTTTCCCTTTGGAGGATATTTGCAGCCTATTTATACCTGTTTGTAAGCCTTTTTGGCTTCCATCCTTCCCATTCTTCCATCTGGAATGATCACTGCATTACTCTCTTTACAGGTCTTACCAATTCTGTCATAATCTAGCCATTAAAGCATCTTTCAGGGTTCCATTTATGTCCCACTTCCTTCATGGAAGTCACTACTGTTTCTCACTGCTTGTTTTCTACATTTACTTAAGCAGCTTCCATGTCCTTGTCTGGCTGGTCCTTGTCTCACAGTCTACAGCTATATTGTCCAATATGGTAGACACTAGACACACGTGGATTTAAGCTTAGTAAAGTTAAAAATTCAGCTCCTCAGTTACAGCAGGCATATTTCAAATGCTTAGTAGCCGTTATGTGGTTAGCAGCTACTCTTTTGGAGTACACAGATATAGAACATTTCCATCATTGTAGAAAGTTCTATGGTGCGGTGCACTGGTCTAGAGAAGGAAACTGACTGCTGCACAGTTACAGTAAATGCAGTAATTATGTCTACTGCTCATCTTGGCATTTAATAAACTGTGACTCTGTGGTTTTATTTCGTTCATTCCCCTAAATTGGAAGCTCTTCGAGGCCAGAGGACATTTTCTTTCACGTGCCCCACCATGCTTTACTATAGCAAAGGCTTACTGAATGTGTTCAGTGAATATGAAATGTCATTTTGCATTTTCTGTAGAAAACTTTTTCATAGATGAATTCTTAGATTAACTTAGAATTTTAGATCCTGTAGGGCCCTGGAGCATGCCATGAATTTAACCCTGACTAGCAATATTATCTATTTCAGATACCTTTTTTCAGTGCTTGGGTGATAAGAAGTATTAGATAGGGGTTCTCAGGCTTTGGCTACACATGGGAATCACTTGGAGAGCCTATCCCAGAAACTCTTGATTTAATTGGTCTGGGATGTGGTCTGAGGATCGAGATTTTTTTAAAACCCCCAGATGACTCTTCCATACAGCCGAGGTTGAGATTCATTAGTAGAAGAGGCTGAACCCCCAGCTCTCCCCTTCAATTCTGCTCATTTACAACTATAAATCAATGTTACCAGTACATTTAAATGTTATCTTTTATCCTATGCAGTAACATTTTTTTTCCCTCCTTATAGTTTCTTATCTCAGTAATCACTATGGTCCTTCTGACACTGATGACTGTCACACTGGATCCTCCTCAGAAACTACCGGACTTATTTTCTGTATTGGTGTGTTTTGTATCCTGCTTAAACTTCCTGTTCTTCTTGGTATACTTCAACATTATAATCATGTGGGATTCCAAAAACGGAAGAAATCAGAAGAAAATCAACTAGCTATGCTCAAAGAAATGTGAAAATGTTAATAGTGCTACAAGCTTTTGTGAAATTTTTGCCGTGTATAAAAAGAAATGATCATTTTGAGAATCGTGGAATTATAGGAAAGGAGATGGTGAAAAGTCATTGTTGTCTACACAAAATAAATGTATATGGGGACCGAAGCAATGGAGGCTTTTATTTTCTAACTACTGGGTGGCCAAGAAATATTGTAGTTTTATTAAATTCACAGTTATTATTCAAATGGGAAAATAAGAGAAACATGTCCTTAATCTCAGTGTTTACTTAGGAAATGTACTCTGTAATTTGTTGTCTTGAAAAAAATCTGCAAATACAGTGAGCTTAATGGGAGAATTTAGCCCCTTATTTTTGAAGGAAATCACTAATTTTGGTATTCAGATTTAGTTTTCTTTACAGTTTAGAATGCTTTAGAAATTATATCTCAGGGATTAAATTTGTGATAATCTTTTATATTACTATGAGAAGGCAATTTAAACTATTTAAAGTTTGAACATGCCTCATTACATGTGCAAATTTGAATTTTTTTAGCAAGGCAGAGATTAAACTGTGTTCTTATTTATTTCCAAGAACTCTTGATTTCCCTGAATGCAATTAAACAATGAATTTTCCTAAATTTAAATCTAAGTGGTTTGAATGAAGTCTTTTTAATTACTTATGATCATTAGTTCTAAACTTTCAGGATCATTCTGTTTAAGTTAAGTGGCCTTATACTGGGTTCATCCTTCTGTTTTTCTTTGTTATGACATGGTTCAAGGTTACCAATGCCATATGCATTGATCCATATCATGCTTCATGTTAACTTAGCCCTGTTAATAACTATATCACTCTATATTAGAAGAAGCCCATGTTTACTGTAGTATTCAGTTGGTAAAAATAATTTATTGTAGCCATGTTGTAGATTCTCATGTAAAGATATGTTTTCTTTAGTCTCTGTAATAAAAATAACCATTTCCCCATCAACCCATGTTTTTAATGAATATATTTCTTTAATAAGCCATTAAAGCATAATAATTAAGTGGTGGTATATCTTAAAAAAAACAATGCAAGCCAAACACATATACACAAAGAAAATTTGGTTCTAGACATGGACACCTACAGGCTGATGCAACAAGGTATATGTTTTTAAGTCTGATAAAGGAAGTGGGTTTAGACAAAGCAAAAAACAAGAAGTATTTCCTTCTCAAAGCAAATGTGCATAAAGACTCAAAGGGCAGGTCAGCACAGAAAAGCAGCCTTGAATCGCTGCCGAATCAGCAGGAACATCGCTGTCCATGGTCACCATCTGTAATCACTGTGCCCAAATGTCAGCATCTTGGCTGGCTGGTGTAGTCTTTTTTATTTTTTGTAATAGAAAACTTGCATTTAATACAGGATGTTGATTTAATTCAATGATGAGGAAGTTCTGACAACTTCTAAATAGTTGGAGTAGAGAAACATTATTTGAAAATAAAAGTATTATTTAAACATTAGTAAAACAGAATGCACCCATATTCAAGGTATCTTATAGGTGAATTCTAAATAAAAATACATTTCCAGATGATTTAATCTAGTCATATGGAGTTACACTGTAGCTTTAATGGAGACTTGCAGCAATTATCTCATAAGTCAAGGATCTCATATCTATTAGAAACCAGTTTAATAACAGTCCACTTTGAACTTTGAGGGATTAAGTACCAAAATAACAAAAATGTCCAGTGATGAATTAAGATCAGAAATAGGCAATTTCAAAGCATTTCTCTCAGCTATATTCAGGATTACAGGGATATTTTAATATAAAGATATTTAGCTTATACAAAAAAATTAAAGACTTCTCACTTTATTCACTGATATACCTGTCAAAAAATGATCTAAGTTATTTTCCAGTTCATTTTAGAGGGAAGGGCTGTTTCTGAAAAATGCAGTTTTCTTTGTTGCCAATAAACTTAGGCATGCGTCTTAAAATGAAGAGAACAGGGTGTATGTTCATGTATCAAATATGAGGCAACAGAAGTCATTTTGTCTTGAAGCCTTAGGGAGGGGAGAAAAATCCCCGATGTAGCATTCTGTCCAAATGATAAACCACAACTAAGTGAGTGAAACATTTACAAAAGTCAAGGCAGCCAAAGGAGCCTCTCTGTTCAAGGGAAAGAGAGTAAGAGATGGATAGGATGTAACTAACTAATGGTTGGAGTAACACAATGGTTTCAAGTCTCAATTGGTCTCTCTCTTCTGTTATGTTCATTGGAAGATCAGGGCCAAGTGTATCCCACGCCTTCTGCCCCCGCCCCCCCCACCCATATAAACATTAGTTTTGTGTGTGGATCTTTCTGCTTTGTCCTTCATGTGGCCTCCAAGGGTGATAAAGCGAGAGTCACCTGATCTACAATGAACAGAACTGGGAAGGGATTCTTAGCCGACCCAGCTGTTCTGAAAGGCAAAAGCTTAGTATATCAAGAGGTCAAACATACAGTAACTGATTTAATAGCATTAAGCACATAGCTACATAACTTGGATTACATATGAAACCAATCTACTTCTTAACCCTTTATTTCCTAATGTAGGTTTCTTTATATGTTTTGGCTTACATTCTAAGGTAAGTTTTCAGTGGTAGAACACAAAGGAATTATCCTTTTTGGTATATTTTAGGCAATGTTCTATTAGCACTGTATCACAAAGTATCCTTAATATTTAGCAGGCTCTCTAAAAACCTTATTTAAGTAGTACCAATAAAATCACTAGTGAAGGCAATTAGTTTTACTGAGTTACTGTTTAGTATCATTTCAATGAATAGTTTTTAAAAAATAACTCATTTTCATTTTAAGAGGTGAATCTGAAATTTCTGTAAATGGAAAATTAGTTATTTTCAACCTTAATTTGTTAAAAATTTTGTTTCAAATTTTTCATAGTATTTTTATTTTCATGATACAGTGAATTAAATGGTAATACCTTACACAAATTTTGTCACAACAATTTGTATAAGATATTATACAAGGGAATAGCATTTTTTTCCCCTGTGGAAATGGTCAAAGAAAAGTATATAAGGTTTAAAAAAACGTGCTATCAATTCTGTGATTCTCTCTTCCCCTTTATTTTGTGACAGCACAAATGATGATACAAAAAAAACTAGAAAATTAAAAATTTAAAATAATGCTTCAAAGTAATTTGGAGGGGATCTCATATTGCTCCATGAGATATGTCTTTTCTTTAAATTCAGTAGAGTCTGTGTAGTTCAGTTTAAAAACAACTTCATATTTAAAAGTCTATACTGAAAAATACATTCCAATATTTTATAAAAGGAGATGTGGAAATTTTAAAAGTTCGAAAATACTTTTTCTCTACAAGCGTAAGAATAACTAGAATATAATGAAGACTCATCCCTGAGATAGCTAAAATAAACTTATAAATTTCAAAAGCTTTCAAAAGAATCTAATAAATACACATCTGGAGCTTTAAATGGGAAAACTGGTACCTAATACCACTATTAGATTTAATCTGAGTTTTAAAATATATAGCTCTACCAAAGGTGCCATTTTTATTAATGCTTTATTAAGTCTATCCACAAAGGCTAAAAGTATATAGAAGCATATGAGATACAAAATATAAGTCAAGATCCTCTTCTACATGTTGGCTTACTTTAAAGGGTCAAGAAGAAATGTATTATTTACGTTGAGATTATCTACTGGTGCATGTAGAAAGTTTAAATTAGCTGCAAGAAATTTTATCTAGACATGCACCTGCCTGTGCTATGATCTGGTATTTATTGGGCAGATTAATTACAAATATTTCTTCTGTTCCTTTAAATATGATCAGGCAGATACAGAAGTTGGCGTTTTCATAGTGCATTTCTTCTAAATGCCTGCAGGATAAAAAAGATGCTTATTAAATCATCAAGAATTAGTTTCCAAATTAACATGCATCTCATACATGATTTAAGAAATGATTTAAACACCCGTTTACTATGTAATTTGGTACCTAGTTTAGTTAGGTACTGGTCATCTCTCATTTACTTATTTTTGAGTCTTCAAAGCAAGATTCACCTTCACAAATAATTGTCAATATGACTACTCTGACATAGCACTCTTCACTTTATGTGAAGATGGATTTGAGATACTTCGAGAGGGTTCTAAAACTCCAACATGACCTAATGAAAACACCAAATCTTACATGCCTTTTGTCTATAAGCCTTCAGTGCCTTTCAGCAGGTGTTTCCTCCAACAGCTGCCCCCGCAAAAAAGAGTCTTTACTGACATTCCTATTCAGAGTATGTCCCTCTGGGGACTCCTAGTGGTGATAGAAGTTCTTGTCTATTTGGCCTTAGGACACTTGTGTGAGAGGAAGCCTTTGAAAAAAGCACCCAATGGCAACTGATGGCATATATTCCCATAGGGCATGTGGACCCTTTACTTCCTTAAATATCCCTTCCTTGCTTATATTGGCAGCTATGAATAAGTAATACATGGTGGGCCCCTATATTTCCCTATTCATGACAGTCCACCTATATTCTTCTTGTCCTACAAGTAGATAGGCTGCCAACTTGACAACCAACTTTTGCCAACTCATGAGCTGAGTCTGATCTGAATACTAGTAGAAGATTTTAAGCATCCTAGGGTTCACTTAATATCCTTATAGGTTATTGATACACAGTTATCAGAACTAATGATAATACTGTGGAGGAAAGGAAGACTGCCATTTATTAAAAAGTTACTGTGGGAAAGGTACTAATTAAGCTAATTATTTAATTTAATTAATTTGACTTTTATTTTATTTTTGTTTTTTTTGCCACACCGCGCAGCTTGCAGGATCTTAGTTCCCTGACCAGGGACTGAACCGGGGCCCTGGCAGTGAAAGTGCCAAGTCCTAACCACAGGACCACCAGGGAATTCCCTAAGCTATTTTATATAATCCACAAGGTAAATAGCATCGGTCCCATTTTATAATTAAGGTTTTGGGAACCGAGTGCCTTGTTTAAGGCCACTAGCTAAAGTAGGTAGTAGAGCTGGTGCTGGACATCTAATCCAAATCCCATTCTCTGTTACAATGCCAGGCCCTGCAAAGAAGTCTCATCAGTTGATCATGGCTGCCAGGACAGTTGTGTTGAGAAAGATTCTGAGGCCAAATTTAGGATCCAGCAAAGATCAATACTTCGATCAAGGTGATGTATATCATAGCACAAGAGTAAGGAACAGCAGCATGTTTGTTTTCTCTACACTGTCATACTGGTTCTGGAGATGAAGATCTCAGAACACAAATGAAAAGAAATTTACATACAGTGATGCAGTTCATGAGCAGTGTTTTGACAGAATTCATCCTTTATATAGCAATTATATTCTTTCTAAAACATATTTTGGATTGTTAGTTCCTTAATAATCTTCACTGGTCCATTTCCGCCTAATGAATAAAGTCTGAGCTAATTTATTAGCCTGGTGATCATAACTGTCAATGATATATCTGGAATCTACTGTTCAATCATTCTGCTTCTCTGCCTTTTTTGTTCATGCTGTTATCTCTGCCTAGTATGTTTACACAGCCCATCAACATTACCCATTTTTCAAATTCCAGCTTCCTAGTAAAATACAAACATTTCTATTACTAGGGTCTTGGATGGCCCTCTGTTAGAGATTATGTACAGTGGAATAACTAAAACTGATTTTAAAATCATGAACCCTTAAATAATGACCTAATCACTCTATCCTAAAGGCGGTCTACGTTGTGTAGTCCTATACTACTGCTTATTCATTTCGTACTTAGAGTAGGAAAGAATGTTTACTCTCCTCAGTCTGAAGAGGAAGAAATTTCTGTCAACTCTTCTGCTCCCTACAGCCCATGGAAAAGTGACAAATTTGACTGAAGTCCCGAACAGTAGTCCACATTTTACCAGTCATATTCGGCCACTATTCTTACACAACACTCTTCTTCCCCACTATTCAGCTTCCCTTTCACCGTCTGTCTACTTTCAAGTCCAGCTGGCCCTCATGCTTCATAATTTCATGTTGTAAGGAGACCAGACCATTCTCTCTCTCTCTTCTGCAACCAAGCATATAAGGTAGGTCTGTGGTCTTTACTGTTATAGACACACGTGGACTTGGGTCTATTTCAAGGATCCAGCTTTCTCCTCAGGTTCAGGAGAGCACATGGGATTCAAGATCTAGATTCAGTAGAGGGGAGGTTCCACTTCTGCCTTAGTCCACATTAGTTACCCCAACCTTCTACCAGAGGGCCTGCCATGTTGGAGGTTAATTCCTCCACTAATCAAGTTGACACTTTGATCCTCGTTGGATTCATAATCTTTTTTTGTACTTGCCATTGTCCAGAATCCTAGAAAGAAGAAGGGTCTGAACTTGTATTACTTATCATAGCTTGCCTTATATTATTATTATTTCATGTATATAATATGAATCTTATATCCTCAGCTTGAATACTAGGTTGGCATTAAGCAAAGTGCTTTGTTTATACTAACCCTCACACTTTTGTTAACCAAGTGATTTATTTACACTGTTTCTAGGAAATGTATCTCAGCATCGCTCGTCGACATTAGCCCAAATCATGCTTTCTCCGCCTCTTTTGCTGGTCTTCATACTGTCTGTGGCCTATGGGTTGCTGTCTCCCTTACGCACAGTCTCTCTTATTGTAACATTATTTTATAAAGGCTCCATTTTCTAAAGGCTCTGGGAGCGAATGCATATGGGGTGCTTACCCCCACTGAATAATATAGGTCGGGAGGAATAATAACTGAAGTGTGACAGAGGGCAGAAGTGATGTGCAGACAGGGAATCTGGCCACAGTGGTGTCAGGGGCATTGTGACTGTCAGAGGTTTCTAGGGCATAGGACAAGATCAGGGAGTTTAATATCCTCCTTTAGACATACCAGTTAGGCAGCTGTGACAAATGTATAAAAGAACATGGAAGAGAGGGATCTAAGGAAGCCTTGTGTAAGGTAAGTTATAAGCAGGTTTTGAAAGACAGGTAAAATTTTGATGATGGGGGAAAAGGTATGCCAAGTAGAGGAGACAAGAACAAAGATAAGGAAATGAGAAAGGTGCTTTCTGAGGAATGTGTCTAGGTATGAATGGCAAATAATTTGGAGTGACTGAGGCACAAAGACAAATTAGAAAGGTAAGCTGGGGTCAGATCAGGGAAGAGTCCTGAATGATGGTATAAATTTGGATTTTACTATGAATATGGTGGAGTGATACCTTCGAAAGCATAATTTGTTCAGTAGCAGGACAGGCTGTAGGGAAACAAGATCAAAGAGCAGAGAGGCAGGTAACAATGAGGATGCAGATAATCTGGATGAGAGGTAATGAAGGAATAAACCAGCGCAGTGGACATGGAAAGAAGTAAACGTTTTGGGAAGTGATATGACTTGGCAGCAGTTTGGATGTGGGGACAACTGGATCAGACAGAATTGTAAGGTTTTCAGCCTTATCACTGGATGAATGTAATCCCTAGAAAGATAAAATGAGGGATAATATGAGGGGGGGATGAAATCAGCATATCAGGGGAATAATGTATGGGAGTTGAGATTGTTTACAGCTCAGGAGGAGGGTGACTTATACACTAAGGTGAGAACTAAAGTCAAGGAATGGATGAGATCATGAGGAAAGCACCCAAGGTGAGAAGAAAACATGATCAAAAGAACCCAGGGAAATGTCTCAAAGGTAGTCAAGTACATTTCACTGTTATTTCTCTCTGTTGCTTCCCACTAAAAGGGAAGTTGACTAGTAGGTCAACCTTAATTCAAGTTTTTTGAAAGTACTACTCAAAGACTCAAAAACATCCCTAACGTGATGATGTTTACTAGAATCCATGAACACAAAGCTATTCTCAGTACTCTTAAGTTTCCCAAAAGTTCATTAATGAGACTGTCATATATTAAGTGTGTATATTCATTTGCCAAATGTATGACTGTGAATATTTATGTGTGTATATAACTGTGTATTTATGACAACCATCTAATAGTTTGCTGCTGGATTTCCATAGGTCAGAAATTGTATAAAACATTTTACCCTATAATGAATGAATGTATGTATTTGTATATATATCGTATACTTAAAACTTAATAGGATCTAAAACCTTTGAGCAGTCATGAAACCTGACATTCACTGATTACTACAATGTAGTGGGCAAGAGCACAGGCTCTGGCACCAGACTACTCTGGTTAGTATACTGGCTCTGTCTCTTAAGTGATTCTGGTACAAGGTACTTAACCTCTGTGTCTCAGCTTCCTTACCTGTAAAATAAAGATACTATCTACTTCACATAAGTTGTTGTGAAGGTTAAACGGGATGCGTATAAAGTGCTTATAACAGTGTCCGGCACATTGAAAGTGCTCAATAAATGTTAGCTATTATTATAAGCTATTATTTATTGAATAATACAGAATGAACATTTTAAGGAGTGAAAGTGATACAATTTTCTGTAGAAGATGCTTTGCAAATATTTTAGAAACAGCTAGTTAAGAAGATAATATTAATCACTTGAGATACCATTTCCAAAGAAACGTATTTTCAGTATAGAACTCTTTTCTTGCATTAATTTTTTTCTGAGAGAAAACAGGCAACATCTGGTTAGCTTCTAAGAATCTTAGTATTGATGCCACTAAGTCTGGGATAATGCTAGTTTTTACTGTGAACCTTCAGCTGCAGGTACACTAAACACTAATGTTACATCATGACTCAATGCTTCTAGCTAATATGTTATAGTAAAAGCTATTTATAAATATATCATTTTTACTTGTATTGCTGAATCCACAGGAATTGTTTTGAAGGAAAGGTACAACTAATTAATATGTAATTATTTACTTAATTCAGCACATTTCCAAATTCACTGACTTGTTATATCTTTGTTCAGTCAGAT